GCTGGGGAGGGGGGTGATGCTCCAGATCCTGTCGTCACCACAGCCTGGCCGGGGAGTAAATCAGAGGCTGGAGCAGTGCAGGTAATTGAAATTGGATTTTGCCAGCCCGGGGGCTGGTTTGTTCATTTAAAGCAGGATTATCTACTGCCTGAAGGCTGGAGGAGGCAGAGGGCTTCACCCACTGCCCCTCGCCCCCTGCTCCTTCACCCACTGCCCCTCACACCTCTGCAGGGGCATCGCTGGGGCTGGGGCTACCCGGGGGCTCGTGCTGCTGGTCCAGGGCTGCAGAGGGGTGTGTTACTGGGCTCAGAGGAAGGAATCAGCTCTGAGGGACTCAGCTGGGGTTGGTGCTGGTGCTGGTGGGGTTTCATTTGCTCTCCTGTGGGTCCTGCCCACTCCTGCTCAGCTCTGCCAGTGCCCAGCTGGCCCCAGACTGGAGAGGAGCACCAGTTCAGCAGTATAGACCCCTTTAAGGGGCTTGGGACTGGCTCTGCACGTGGAAGCTCTTAAATCCACCTTCAGCTTGGGCCAAACTGCCTCTCCCAGAGCCCCTGAGTCGTGGCACAGTCCTTGCAAGGGCACAAGCCCGTCTGGCCAGTGGCAGCCAGTGGCCACCCATGGCACCAAGCGTGGTGGCAGCTTGGTCCTGCTTCCACCCATGAGTTTGCCTGTAAAAACTCCTGTTCCTCTGGTGTTTTGTTACCCCAGCTGAAAGCCACCTCCTCCTGCAGCCTGAGCTAAAGGCCTCCATCCCTGGCAGCCACAGAGGGCACAGCTCTCTGACCTCCCCCCTGAGCTGGGTTTGGAGCCAGAGGAGATGATGCTGGTGGTGCTGGGTGAGGTTTTGTGGCAGGGATGAGGATGTGGGGAGATATTCCTGGGCAGGCAGCCCCCCCTTGGGTGAAATTGCCTTCAAATCTGGGTCAGGGCAGGGGCTACTGAGCCCCAAACCCAGCCCAGAGCAGGAATTACTGCTTAATTGTTCTCTCCCCCTCATTAACAGCCTTCATTCAGAGATTTCAGTGGGCTTTGCAAACATGAATGTAGGATGCTTGATGGGTACTCCAGGACCCATACCTGGAGGAGGAGGGAAGAGAAGTTATTATACCCAGAAGAAGCTCTGGGGAGATCCAGCAGCTCGTAGCTTTAACGTGCATGAACCAGGGAGTGGAAAAGCAACAAGGAGCCTGAGGCAGCCCCCGATTTTCTGCCTTTTAGCAACGAGGCTGTGCCTGCTGGGCACCCACCCAGCCCCTGGGCTGCAGGAACTAACCCATCCCTGCCATTAAGGAGGGCTGCTTTCACTCCGGCCTCATTCCTGGAGGTTAATTGCATCTCAGTGAGCTCAAGAAAAGTCCACTGGCCTTTTAATGCTCGGTAATTTTCCTAGCAAGCAGCAGGATTCGCTGGGTATTTAATTATTCATTGCACTGGCAAAGGGAGGTACTGGGAGGCTGCTGTGTCTCCTAACTGCACCTTAATACAGGTGCCATTTGTCATCCCGGCGATAGGAGACCAGGGGAAGGGGCTTGGCCTGAGGCAGGGAGACTTTGGAGGCTGCCTGGAGCATCTTTCCTTCCCTGCCTACCAGCAGCAGCACCAGGAGCTGCCCCTGGCCCCCCGTGGGGGCTGCTGCACCCACTTCAGCTCCCCAGCATCACCCCGAGGGTGGAGGTGAGGCCAGGAGCTGGGTGATGGGCTGAAAACTCACAGCCTCTGGAGAGAGCCCAGCTTGGCATCCCACCGGGCTCACCCAGACCAGCCACCCAGCTCTGCCCTCCCAAATTTCCCAGGGATGGTGCTGAGGAGGGGCTGGGCTCGGGGCAAACCCTCCTGTGTTGCTGCCATCTCCTCGTGGGCTTGTTTGCCAGCACAGGGTGTCAAGAGGCTCCTTCATGGCATGGGATAAATGCTGCTGCCCTGGGCTGGGAGGGATTTGGTAGGACACGTGTGGGTTGGAGACATCTGGGCTGCTGGGATCCATCCTTGGAGCATCCCAGCTTCTCCCACAGCACCCAGTATGGGCAAGGGTCCTGCTGGGCAGGGTGGAGATCGATGCTCCAGGCTGCTGGGCAGCCTCTCACTGGGGCTTTCAAAGTCCAGCCATTGATTTTAGCTTCATATATATTTATTCTTTTGGGTTTTTTTCTTCCTGTGGCTGCTGGGGTTGGAGGAGAGCATTTCCTCTCTTGAGAGTCGTGGCCACCTCCCCTGAAATGAGCCTTTTAGGGAGTTAGTTCCAGGTAGCTAAAGCACGTGGGTTTGCACTGAAATGAAGGATGGGAGAGGCAGGGTTTGCTCCCAGCCTGGGGACAGATGGACAACGCTCAGATTCCCTCTGGAAAGTGCACATTACTCTGGATGAGCCCCTGGTGCTCAAATGATGAGGTTCTCCATGATCTGTATCCCCCCCCTTGAAAGATTTCCATTTGCCCAAAGACAGAGGAGAGTGAAAAACAACCTGCCCAGTGCTTTTATAACAGCAAGAAAATCATCCAGCACTGAGAACAGACCCTAAACCTTCCAGCTCCCAGCTGGCCCAGGCTCTGCAGATGGAGTCACCAAACCTTGACCTTTCAGATTAAATTCCCTCAACTCCTGAGGTCAGTTTGATGCAGCCACTGACCTGCAGAAGGAGCTGAGCTTGGGGCAGGACCCAGCCAGCGAGCTGGCCACAAACTCCCAGCCAGCAAGAATGAACCTGAGCTGGTCCAAACCAGTCTTTTCCTTCCATCACAAGGCTGGATTTTGGGTTGCCCTCCCCAAATCACCATTGCTGTGCCAGGGGGGTGCCCGTGCCCGGCCGTAGCCTCAACGGTGACTGAGGTTGTTGACTGTGGTGTTTAATTTGCTTTTTTTTCCCCCCCTTTTCTGTTTTTTCCCTCCCACTCTAGGAGAAGAATTTTATGAAGCTTCCCCCTACGAGCCAGTCACCTCTCGTCTCTCTGATATATTCAGACTTGCTTCAATTTTCTCAGGTAATAAAAGCAACACGCTTCTGCTCTTTTATCTTCTCTTGCCTATGAATGTGGACTTGCTGCTGAGCTCCCTGGCGAGGAAAAGCTGCAGCTCCTTCCCTTGTGCTTTGGTCCTTCGCTGCTCCAGCTCCTCTGGCTGCTCTCACCCAAATCTTCTCCCATCACCCCAGATCTGATGCCTTGAGCATCATCAGAGAGCCGTAGCCCCCCCAGGATGCTGAAGCCTGGTGGAGGAGGCTGGTTCCCGAGTGCTCCTGAGGTTTGATGTATTTTGGGACAGATTCTCCCTGCTTTAGACCTTCCTGGTGGGAGCAGGCATTGCTGGGAGCGGGTGAGCCCTGGCTGTGACAGAGCCAAGGGCATCAGCCTCGTCCTCAGGCTTCCCATTTCCCCCTCCCATGTTGGGATTTAGGATTTCACCTTTTGGACTCTGCTGCCTCCAGCTGTGGGTTTATAGCAGGTAGCTGAGGTGGGCTGGAGAGCCTCAAAGTCCCTTGTTTGTCTTGCCAGAGCATCCCCTCACACAGCCCAATGTCACAGCCCAGGCTCAGGGGGGGACCAGACCCTCCCACTGCCCATCCATCACTCCATAGAAGGTGTTTTTATCGTTTGTCTTGGCAGAGCATCCCCTCACACAGCCCAGTGTCACAGCCCAGGCTCTGGGGGGGGGACCAGACCCTCCCACTGCCCGTCCATCACTCCATAGAAGGTGTTTTTATCTTCTGGAAGATTTGGAACCCCGTGGGGAAGCTGAGGGGGGACCCTGGTTGGTGTCCTCACCCTGGGGCAGCCAGCCCTGAGTTGAGCAGTGGGATGCTGCTGGGAGAAGGATGTCGAGCCCTTCAGAGCATCTCTCTGCCTCCAGGTCCTCCTCTTGGGAACCCAAACTCCCCCACCCTCCTCAGGAACTTTTTTTGCCATCTTATTTCCATGACAACCCTCCCTGCTGCCACCCCAACCCCCCTTTTTTTCAAATTAGGTCAGCAACGCCTTGGCTTCTCCTTGCTCTTTCTCCTTTTAATCCTTTCCCCAACGCCACCCATCACCGTGGGGCTTTGGGGGGGGTCCCCAGACCTCTTGGGGTGCGTGTGGCACCTCGGGGACACCACGGTGACGCTGTGACCCTGCCTGCAGCCACCCCAGCTCCCTTGGGGACACCTCAGAGGAGGGCTGTGACGTGTCACTCCCCCGGGGAGGGAGGTCTGCACTGCTTTGGGGGCACGTGGTCACCCCCTCCTGTCTCCCACATGCCTTTTTTTTGGCTTCCATTAGCGTCAAGGAAATATTTGAGCTGCTGGAAAGTCTGAAAAGCAAAAGTGTCTGGAGTGGGGGATTAAATGCTCCCGGGTTGATTTATTCATAAAAGCAAAGTGAGAGGAGAAGGAAGCGTGTCTGGCAGCTCCAGGGCTGGGGGAAGGGGAGGGACTGGCTGTGGTTAGGCTCTGGAGATGTGCTGGGGACATTGAGGTGGCCTCGATGCTTCCTCCACCCCTTCTCCATCCCTCTGGCACCAGCAGCTGCCCCCCAGGACCCCCAGCCCTGACCCAGAGCCCAGGAGGGGGAAGTGAGTGAGCTGTGAGTGGTGTCTCCTCACCGAGAGCTGCCCCAGGGGGTGGTGGAGGGAGTCCCCTTCCCTCTCCAGAAGGAGGTGGCAGGAGCCAGGGCTGGTGGCTCCCTGAGTGAGCACCACGAGCAAGCACCACAACCACGCACTGCAGTCACAGGATCATTACAGCTGGAGAAGACCTCTAGGATGAAGTCCAACCAGCAACCCAACCCTCCCATGGCCACTAAACCATGGCCCCAAGGGCCACGTCCACATGTTGTTTGAAGCCCTCCAGGGCTGGGGACTCCAGCACCTCCCTGGGCAGCCTGGGCCAACCCCTCACCACTCTGTCAGGAGAGAAATTCTGCCTCAGATCCAACCCAAACCTCCCCTGGGGCAACTTCAGCCAAATTTCTTCTCATCCTTGGTTCCTTGGGAGAAGAGACCAACCCCCACCTCACCCCAACCTCCTTCCATGGAGCTGCAGAGAGCCAGAAGGTCTCCCCTGAGCCTCCTCTTCTCCAGACTAACCCACCCCCGGTCCCTCAGCCTCTCCTCACAAACCATGTTCCCCAGACCCCTCCCCAGCTTCGTTGCCCTTCTCTGGACCCACTCCAGCCCCTCAAGGCCTTTCTTACCCCTGTGGTGCCCAAAGTCCTGCCCATGCCCAGGGCTTTGCCCTCCCAGACCCCCACCACAGAGCAAAGCATCCCAGGCCAGGGCTGAAGATGCTCTGGAGTGCCAAGAGATGCCAGAACCTGCCCTGTGGAAAGCCTGAGGAAGACTCTGCTGGAGGCTCCAGCCCCACGCTGTGTTTCTGCCCACGTGGGCACAACCCTGGGGCAGCAGCACCCGAGAAGTGGGTGGGCATCAGACCCCCAGACTCAGCCCACGCTGCGTGGCAGGGAGCTGGCTTGCAGCAGCAGCCTTCCCCATCACCCTCCTCTTCCTCCTCCTCTACTGCACTGACAGACCAGGCAGAGGTGGCAGCAGGTCTCCAGCAGGGTCCCCACCCCGACTCTTCGCCCCCGTTTCCTTCTCACCTCATGAATTTTTCATGCTTGTGCTTCCTTAATGAGCTCCCCAGGAACTCGGCTCGTTCAGGCATCGGCTCCATTAAGATGCATCCAGGTCCCTGCAGGGCCGGGGCAGGGCAGGAGGAGGATGCTCGGGAGGGTTAGACCCGGAGCTGGCACTTGGCACAGCCCCCAGCCTGGGCCACTGGCTGTGAACCCCTCACAGGGGCAGCCGGGGGCAGAGAGTGCTCAGGGGATATCCCCCTCCAATTCCAGAGCTGGTCTGGACAAGGAGGAAACAGAACCTTGGGTCCCACATCTCCTGCAAGGGTCTTTTTCCCCTTTCTGCTCCTCTGACATCGGTGTCATGAGCTGTGTCCATCCTCAGCCTCCCGTAGCAGTGCCCAGGCTGGGGGGTTCCTGCTGTGAGGTGGCACCTCCTGCCCTGTCCCATCCTTGGGATGCACAGGGAGGGGGTGAAGCCCCACAGGACTCCTCTTCTCCTTTCTCCAAGGCTTTATGCCAAGCAGGGCTCCGTGAAGAGCAGGGAGGAGGATTCCTCCAACCATCCATCAGCTCAAACATCTCTCTTAGCTCAGGTGACCTTCTTGCTTCTCGAGCCATTTGTCAAGGCAGATCTGCTTATAAATCAGATCTCCTGAAGAGGATTCACTTCAGGTCGTGCTATCAAACCCCCACACCCCTGGTAGATCTCCACGGGGGGGTCTCCATCCATGGCTCCTTCCAAACAACTTCCCCCTCCCCCGTTCTGGGGTCTTGTGGCATCACTGCCCAGCCTGGGGGTGACCCTGG